CTTAAGCCGATGATTATATACGAGTTTAGCTGGTATGCATATTTTGATAGCAATCATCATATGATATAATTGGAGTCAGACATAGGGCCAGTAAAATATTTATCAATTTTTTAAATATGGTTGTTCTTTTATTCGTTAAATAAAGTAATCTGAAGCTTATTGCTTTTGGCCATTATGTAGTGAGATATATTATGAAGTGAGATATACACGGTTAACTAATACTTAATATATTGATATATTGTTATAATTTGACCCATTCAGCTGTAATACAGGGAAAACTGAAAAAAATTGACCGAAATTTCATGTTTTGTAGTTTGATAATGCTTGGTACTTCACGCACATCAACCAATAAAAGTGAAAGACATTGGGTAACTGAATTGTTAAGAGACACGGACTAGATGATAAAAAGGGGAAAGATATTTCCATGAAACAAAAATCATTATTCCACAAGAAATTGACAGACAAACTTAATCTACTTAAATATGCCCAACCAAGAGTCAGCAATCAATATGTCTGACACCGAAATAAAAGTAAAAGAAAAACTACTGTAAGCAATGAAACAAATGTATTAAGATTAAAAAAATAACTAAATAAACATAAGCAATAGTTCTAGCTTGGATCCAAAATCAAACATGATATAAACAGGTTGATAAATGAGAACAATTTACGCCGAGAAATAGAAGCAGATATGAAAAGGATGAATAACAACTGGAAAGAACTGGAAAGGATTGCCCAGGACACGGATGGATGGATAATGCTGGTGTGCGGCCTATGCTTCTCCACGGGGGTAACAGGCGTAAGTAAATAAGTAAGTAAGAAAGAAAGAATAAATAGTTGGTACTGAACTGAACAGTAATAGTGCTTAAATAAATACATAAAGAGAACATGAATATAAAGTGCTCATCTTTGAATAAAACTAGCTTTATGACGTTCATTGTAATGCTCCCTCTCTTTGTTTTGAAGGAGGCTTTGATAATCCTTGGTCCATGAGATTCCCATCCAATAAGTGCATTTTGTGCATTTCTGGACAGCATCAATGCAACTCCTTGTGTATGTGGGGCATTTTCTTCTTCATGACCGGAGTATAATAGAAGTTCGTCTGAAGATAGTCGTTGTTGTCCAATCTGCGTCCAATGTGTTTCACTGATTCCAAGCACTTCCAGGGTGTATTTTCTCATTTCTGTATTAACTTGGAAGACTCTTCCGGTCTCCCACATTGTCCGGACATTCCATGTACCTATAAAAATTGTCGCTCTGGTTGTTAGAAGGTGCATCGGCCTCATGACTTCCGAAGGAACTCGGCTTTCATAATGAGACGTCATAATTATTCCTTCCACCCCCAAGACAGAGTTTAAATGGTTTGAATAAATTTTTTCTGGTTAGCGTTTTTTTAGCGAGTTGGTTTTCTACGGGATGAGGTCGCTAATCCCATGCCCGATCCTCCTCCTTTACCCAGGATTGAGACCGGCAGTAGCCCCCAGAGGAGCTACAAGCGGAGTTAACTCTCAAGTATATTTCCATATAAATTCCCAATGAGAGTAATGAAACTCGTTCAGAAGAATTTTTGGCAAATCAGATATTTGATTTGTTGTGAGAATTGAGGATAGAGATTCCAATTATTAGTATATTGTTGTGTATCCGATAACATTTATATTGTCAGTAACATAGAAAGCATGACGATGTGACAATGAGAGGTTCAATGGAATCACAATATAGCTTTATCATTTGATTTTAGCCTTTCTGTAGCTGCTGAACCTCGTCGTATTCATATGTTTGTAGTAGGCGTCGATTCGCGATTGACTATGATCACCACTATAGGCAGATTACGTGCCAGGTATTAGGTTGGATCCCTGAGTATGTCAAAAACCAGAAGGCAGTTGACGGTTGTAATAAGATATAATTGTTGGCGATCTGGTGGTATCGAAAGAATACCGAGATCGCGCCAAAGTTTACAAGCGGAACTACCGAGTGTATGCGAGTTCGTGCAAGGTCACAGACAATGGGTGAATGTGTGTTTCGTACACTTAAACGAACAGGTACAGTGAAAAGATCACTGGTACAATTGGTTATAATAATAATAATTGTTCCCATTATAACAATCACGTTCTCGTCATAAAAGTAGGTCACTACATGTTAACTTCAAATTTATCAATACAATCAGTACACAACCACACTGAATTACCTATCAATCCAATTTCAGAATTTAGATTTTTATACGGATGTTGATTGGTGTTACATTTTAATGGTGATTAAAGTGAGTGTTAAATTGTTTATTTTCTTGTTGAGCATACCACATTTAGTGAAATCAAGATATTGAGACTAGCTGCAGATGTTTAGTTCACACGAAGATTTCAAATACACAAATTACGTCCTTTAAATGCGAACTTCAATCAAAGTGTTAGATGTTTCCAGATGAGATTTTCTATGAAGAGTCATTATTATTTCATATGCGTTACGAATGTCTAGCATTGGGAAACCTAAGTAAATAATGGTTGTTATACTGAATAAACCTATTTACTGGCAAACAACTTCAAATTCTTTTATTATCGGATGGTCGGTCTGTTCTAGCCTGATGTACGCTACTTATGTCGACAGACGAGTATTATGTAACAGCAATCAAAAGTTGAATGGCTGGTAGCAGAAGGCTAAGAAGATCGGATGTAAGAAAACAGAAAGGGGAATAGAAATGATTTGTGAATTGGAAGAATCAGGCTGAATATATAGAACAATTGATGGAAGATTCGCAAATGAAGCATTTCATGTATGGTTTTCATATTTTACGAAGATTTTCTATAAATTTTTACTTAATAGTGAATTGGTTGTCCCCACCTCAGTTTCGTTCACAACACTAGTATATAATATTCGTTTTAGGCTTACCTTCATTCACTCATCAATCTAGCTATCCGGACAGGAGTCTCATCATATGTTGAACAGGATCATATAATGACGCTGTAAGTAGATAGTACAGGATGTCAACTTTCCATAAATCGCATGACAATACGGCCATGATGTGAAATAAGAAAGTTATCGTAATCAACCTCTATCACGTCTACCCAGTTAAATGGTATTTATAATTTTCAAACGGTAACACATAGATCGAAATTTATAAAACCCTTAACAGGTCATTACTTTTGTAGAAAACATTCTATACTGCCAATTCATTGTAAAAACAAACTTGAAGTAGGAAATCTAACGGGAACAAAATTCTACACATATGAAAGTTGCAACGTATTCGGATTCAAATCAAACACTTTTCTAAATGGTTGCTTTTTTTATGGTAGGTGAAGCTCGTTAATAACTAACGACTTGACAATAACTACAGTAATACGACTCACAGCATCAGTTGGAATAAAAGTAATCACGCTTTATTCAGTAGACCAGAAGTGTTCTGAGCGATCGGTTTACAAGAATTTATGAGTGGTCATCCAATGTGTTATATTCCACATGTATTTAAATTATTCGAAAATACATAGATTTGACAGCCCAAAAAGCAACCTATATCCTTTCAGAAATCACTACTCAGAATCAATTGATTTGGCAATTCAATGAACTTCACGATATTCTCCTTTAATGTCTTTCAGAACAAATTTCTTATTGTTTTATTTTCTGTCACAATCAATACTGTCATTTCGACTGATTTGACACTCCTTATGGTTAGTTTCTCATCGTGATAATTCCAAATGGTGTGATTAATCGTTCAACCGTTCAACTGGTACATAATACTTAATCCAGATCGATTTCACAAATATTAGTGCTCAACCTATACTGTGGTTTAGGCAGATCAATTGCCCCATGTGTGGTTTTTTGGTAACTTATTATTGATTGAATTATTGATCCACACTGATTGGTCTCTAACGATATATCAGCTTCTTATACAAATACTCGAATATTGTATATGACTAATTTCCTTGTGTTAATAACAGTAATATTTAATGGTAATGGTTCGTCAAGCAACACACACCTCTTCGCATTCCCCCTCATGTATTTCGCATTATTTACTAGTCTTGTTTATTCATCTGAACACTGAAGGGGAACTCTGATCGAACTGATGGATTTCGATATGTGGAAGAGGCAATAGATGAACATTCGAGTTTAGTGAAAAAATAAACTCCATCTTTCATTCCATTACGTGTCTGTTTTATTTCCCATTGAATATATACACAGTTGAAAGAAAAAGGATGAAACTTTCTTCTTACAAAAAATTGCATACACATGGCATTTGACAGCATAACTACTTGTTACTGATAGAATACCGGACGAAGTTCCACATGTAAAACAAACAAGTAGAAACATACTAAAGTTTGAAAAATGTGTCTCATCTCATTGAAACTATTGAAGATGTTATTCTAATAATCACCAATAGAAATAACAGACATTAAAAAATACAACCAAAACCAAATTTCACAATACAAACAATTGTTTAGTAAATAAAACAAGTCTATATAGAAAAGCTATGAGGGAGATTTATAACAATACCGCTAGCAGTAATAATAGTAAACAAACAACACAATATTTGTAATGGGTGGAGTTCAGTTGATAATTCATTGTTGAGCATGTTTCGTCTTTGAATTTCCTTGTCTGTTCTCCATACAATAATTGTTTGATTCATTGATTAATTTACGGATTGATATGTACTTGAAAGTTGAGGGACGACAGAAGTAATAATAATAATATTAGGTATTTTACAGTGACATGTAGACGAGGTGAATGTGTGAGAAAGTGAACGAGAGGGAGAAAGGAATGGATATCTCAAAAACCAAAGGATTGTGCGCATCATTGTGCCTGTGTATGTGTGTGTGCGTGACAGAGAGAGAGAGAGAGCAATTGAAAGATAGAATTACGAGTGAATGATGGACACCTCATAAACAGTTTGTACAACCATGATGAATTTCCAGCAAACACTTTTACTGTGTTGTTTGCGTTTTTTGAGAGAAATACAAGGAGGTTGAAGGAAATAGGTCAGTAATAGTAATAATGATAGTGATAATAGTGATATTGTATCAGGAAATTCTATTCTGTTGTAAATAATTGATTAGATCCATATAATCTCGATGTATCCCATAAGGATGTAGGTGATACAGCATATATTCGTAGAGATACATTTCTTCAGGTTTAATATAATGAAATGAGACAGCATAATCACTGCAACAATCGAATCCCTGATTTCAATCAAGTTGGGGGGAGAATAAAAGTCAATGTAGTAATGATGATGATGATAATAATAACAATAATAGCAATGATATAACAACAATGTGGAGAGATTGTGATTACAACGTGAGATAAGCAAAGTTTGTTGAATAAATGCATACTGAATAATAGGTCAACAAAACAAGATTATGTGACAATGATCTTACAATCACGACAAACTCTCTCTAAACATTTGTACGCTACATGTGTTCCTGTCATTCAGTACATGTTTGATTGTAATATCGCTGCAGTCACAGTTTGCAGTGGGCTGCAAAAGCATGCCACGTTGTTTCCCTTCAAAACTGTTATTTTACTTCATAGTTATTGTTATATCCCGAAGAGAATTATAAATGGTAACTATTGAGGACTATTTATGGACCAATACGATACGTATATTTACTATTGTATAATTGTTAAGTAACTCAAATATTCATATTCATGTTCCTTTTATGATAAGCTTTATATGATTGGCCGTTGTTGAGTTATCCTCAGTCGATTAATTACTGTTCCCCACATTCACAGTCTTATTTGGCCAAATCTTGTACAAATGTTATTTTCTATTTTATTGGTACGATGCGCTCTGTTTGTTTGTTTGCTATATAAACCGAGTATGTTTGAGAATAATGATTCATATTGCAGAGGTTGTTGTTGATGTTCTGGACTTAACTGGCTGGGTTAGGCACATAGCAGGACCGACAAGTGCTCTAGACTGTTTGTACGGGTTTCGTGTTTCATTGGTCCGATCAATGAATCACTACTCTCTAATAGGCGGGGATACGTTATAACAGTTTAATTACTAACTTTTTAATTTATTCAACCCCTCAATCATCCCATAAATGCACCACTCATCTATGTAACTGTAACTGTAACAATATTTGTGACGTGAAATTTTGTGCGAAAACTGAAAGTCACCATGTCAAACCTCAGTGAATCGGTTATCAGACCATCTCTGTTACAAATTTGTGAGAATGTGGAGGATTTTCCAAAAGGTGATCTCTAACGGTATTCCACTTATCATTCTCGATTTATGTTATTTCTTCGATTATTTTCTGTTGTCATTAACAAACAACTATGCAATACGTTATTCGTTTACTGGTCTATCTTCTGTGTTACCACCTAATACTCAGATAAATCTACCTAAAACACACCTATATACAATCGGGACAACGTTGGATTTTGAATTATCATAATATCATTTTAGTAACTGAAATATTCAGTACCATTCATGATATGATGTGTGATAATGTTATGGTAGGGGAAGAATAATCATTGCTTTCAGAAACTAGATTGTTTTGTCTGATTCTCACTCACTCATTTGTATAGTTTAATATAGACTTGAGTGAGCATTGAAAATTATCCTGTACATAATTGATGATGGAACTTCTGTTACATTTTCACCAACCATAACCCTTTCCATAGATAGCTTATTCATGTATAGATATGTTTAGTAGTAAAACTCACTGTATCTATTCTGTGGTAATTGTACTTTATGTACCATTCTGGATAACCGTTTGTATCTTTTGTAAGCATATGTGATGGAGAGAACGGGTGAAAACATTCACGTCCTTCTGCATCTAGACTATCAACTATTGAAACATTTGTAGCTTCAGCACATGATCCTGTAATCAATTGAGGAGGAAGAACAAGAAGAAGAAGAAGATGTATCGAATGGAATTAGCATTGAATTATTTCTTTTATTGTTTTCAAATTCCCAGTATATTATAGCACATAATATGAAGTCGACTAATAATGGTCTTTTAAGTAAGTCCTCATCAGCTTCTACGTTTATATATCGTCCAAATTGATGATACAAAAGAAGTACATAGAATCTTACAATGGTTGGTAGAACAAAACAGAATTGTCAGTGGCTAACTATCTATCAACTATGTACTGTCGACTCCAACTATTGTGTCAACTGTAATTGTCAGAATGAGAATGAGAATGGATATAGACATCATAGTGTAAGAGAACTAATATTGACGTTGTTCCTGAACTATTGAATGTCGTGTCAACCAGACATGATGTGTAACTGGGGTGATCTCACAACACAGACTAAACGAAGGTGGACAACCGATGAAAACCCAACTGCAATCAAATAACTGTTTCGTCCCAGTATTAACCTACTCTGTACTGAGCACCTAGAGTTCATCCAACAATCGAATTCAAAATTTTTAGGATTACACAAACCGTTCAGGCTAATACAAATACATTAGGCTGTTTCCATGTCATATTCAACGATATCGATTATTTTTCAAATCTGTTGTTTCGTAGTCCTAATGCAATCACGGCGTCACATGCAGAAATAGAATGTATACTCACCAAGTTTCACGTCTTCAGCAAATGCATGCTTACTACTTTGGCAAACGGTATTATTTTCTAGACCATTAGCGATATTCAAAAGACCAGCTCGAGAGAGCACATATCCTCCACCACCGGACATATATCCTTGTTTAACAAATGGCTATTTTGCAAAGAAGAATGTTGAAGAAATAGATGAATATGACGGATTAAGGAGAATGAAAGCAACAATATAGACGCGTTATTTGTAATAAGAAGTATTTGAATTCCTCAATGTCTTATACAAATTAATGTAATACTGAGAACTATTTGGATGCTCTCTGATAGTAAAACAACTTTTCCTAATCTACAACTATGATTTCTAGAGATTTGCTTGAAGTATTGACAGTTCATGTCGTGACATGATTTGATATTTCTCCCAACTTTAATTATCATCAAGATATTCTGTTTACGTTTATGAAATGATTCTACATTTAAGTATTGATATGATGGGTAAGTGTTTCGAGTAATTACAACGTTCAGTTCTAATAATTGACCAATCATATCCTATCTATTAGATAAATCAAAATCACTATAATCTTCGTTAATTATTTCAGCCAAACACTGGTGATTATTCCATTTATGAAAATGGCATTTAACCAGAAATCGCCTTTTCGAATGAGCATTACACACGAGCCACCAAAATCACTTCAATCAGTACTATGAAGATGTAGTGTTTTTATTAAATACTAGTTGTTTTGTACATACCTAACCACACAATTCCAAATTCAATACAATTCAAGTGTGTAGAAAGGAAATGACAAAAAAAGGGAAGACAAACATCTGAGCAAAGTGAACTGCCCCAACTGCAATAAAAATCATGATGGACAAAGTGGTTGTATTCGTCTTCGTCATCAAGAACACCAGGTGTCTGTCTGTGAAACACCATTAGTCATCTTCGCTCGTATCTATGCATGTGGACAATCGTAGACACAGGTTTGATTGAGAGAATGTTGAAATCGTGGAGAGAGAAAATAGAAAGAAAACCACATTTCTAAGTTTATCGGGGTAGGTCAAACAGCAATCAGTGAACATATGTGTAGTAATTAGAACATCCCAACTCTCTGCGAATTTTTTGATGATGCTGTCCAGAAAGACCACAGAATCTTCAACATTGGACTACTCATCTGGGAGAATGCTAACAAACCTAAATTTGTTTGACAGTTTGTTGGTTTAGCCACTACAGTCACTTCAAAATAATATCGCTTGATTGTATTATCTTATCACACAAATAAATCTACTCGTCAAAAAATCAGCCACTCCATACAAATGGAGATAGGCAACTCACCTTGAATCGTCTGCCCATGATGAATGGTTTATCGGGATCTTGTTTATGTAAAATTTTGCGCAAATTCTCCACAATCACGTATGAATCATCATCCGCTTTCATGAAGTAGTCATAGTCATTGGCATAATGTTTTGCAATGTATTTTATAGCTCCAGCAGTTTTATTCCACAATAAGTTGCGACCTTCAGTGTTGATAACAGCTACAAGTTACGAATACATTGATATATTCGGTGGTGATTGAAGTAATTAAACAGACAGATTCAATGACAATCATAAATGATAATGATCAACATGGGGAGATGGAGATCATTGGGAAGGGACTTTCACTAACCTCTGTTGGACTTGGAGTGAATGATGATAGGATTTATATAGGTATATATACACATCGGCTCAAATTGCCATACCACATTGGCTCAAATGTTAGGGAATATCCATGAGTAGTAGAGGTAGTTACAGTATCAGCGGTAATTTAGAGAATTAATTGTAGAAGATACGATTCGAGAAGGAAATATGAAATTTTCAAAATGATTAAAAACATTCTGAGGAATTTGGAAACTTTGGACATAAGAGAAAACAAAGAATGAATGCATCTGAGTAATTGAGAACAACGTTAAGAATTGTTACTCAAAGTCTCCAAACATTGTTTGTGATAATTACGCGGATCTCAACCAGGTTGTCTGCACCTAACTACATGGATCGGTTGAACATTCAGTGTCTCTGTGGACTGATGCCACGTTTTGAATTGTCCTTCCTTATCTTTCATTCAAACTACTCCTTACACCAGTCAGCCATTATCACGCATCCAGTTAGTCGATGGTTGGACATGCGTAATACATTTCCCAACCATCTCAGTCGATAGATTCATTACCTCGTCAACCGATTTCCTATAATTAACTGGTGCTGTGCATCTAACCTCAGAATCGCTAACTCGATGGTGCCAAAATATACGATGAATGGTTTGGAGACATCGATGATCAAGTAATCGTAACATATATCCTCTATTATAAAAGGCATTCAGATGATGATATTATTATCTCATGAAGAACGTCTACCAATAAGTTAAATAGAAATAGTGAGAATGAATATAATGAAATTAGTAATCAAGTAGTGAGAAGTAGTAACCAGTGGAGTACAACCAGGTCTGTTGAGAGATATCAACTCATTGAAGAAATTAGTGAATGGTTGCTCAATTTCGTGGATTAGTTGAAGTTAGAGATTAACACCGTTGGATATCGGCCATCCCAGTGGTCTAGAGGTTAAGTGCTCTCGCGCGAGACTGATAGGTCCTGGGTTCAAATCTCGTGAGGCGGGATGGTGGATGTGCACTGCTCAGGAGTCTCACAATAGGACGAAACGGCCGTCCAGTACTTCCATGTTTTCCATGGTGGTCTACCTTCAATGGACTCATGAATTCAACTATAGAAAATTACTAAAATCTCCACAAAATCCTCTTCGGATAAAATAATTATAATTTGCAAGCGAATGAATCATCGAGCGAATTAAGTAACTGAAATTTTGGGCTAATAAGAAGGGATATGTGTGTATAGGCTGTAACACGTGACCAAGCTATACATGTTCATACAGACATGATAATGATTGTACAAAAAATATGGATACATTTTTGTATTGTCCGAATGATACTGTCTGTTGAATGATTCCATTGAAGCGGTTCTGGTTAGCGTTTTTCGGTTTGAAACACAAAGATATGAAGAAAATGTCTGCAAATGTTTGCAAAACTAATGGTAAACAGAACAGAGAGAACTGAGATACAAAAATTATCGAGTTATATAAATTAAAATGTAATTTAAGGGTATCTATTCGTGTATTTTTAAGTGCACTTACATCCATGAGACCAGATTAAATAATAATAATAATAATGGAGAAGAAGAAGAAGAAGTAGTAGTAGTAGTAGTAGTAGAAGGAGAAGTAGAGGAAGAATGGAAGACCAAACGTATTTAGTATCATTTTTTCAAAAGATTATCCATACAGGTCGTTATAATGAACAAAATATATGAAATTTAATAATGGATAATGTAAAATTGACTATACCCAAGTACAAAACAAAAAGACAAAAAAAGTAATTCATATTCAAAGCAGTGAAGAAAACATTCATTCAAAACCTTTGAGATGTACCATTGCGGCTATTTAACACTTCGATTATATTTCGTCATAAGAGTAAAAACGTCACCTTCACAATTAATATGTTTGGTATGCTTGAATCTTTATCACAATAAAGATAAAAACAACAATTACAGGCTATCAATAAACAATAATTATTGATTCACAACGATCGGCAAACACTAGAGATTGGACATTCTTACCACCAGTCTGTAAATGATATGCTGTATTCTTCAAAGTGTAACAAAATGTCATAGCGGAATTTTAACATTTTAACGTTTCCGTACTCAGTATAGAGTTTAAAGTAAACACTTCTTTCCCAAATACCCACATGAGTAGATACATAAAACGTTTAGGAATGGAACCCTGATGTCCTTGTATTTTAGTGCAGGAGGATGTTGCATGAAACAAGGGGTGGAGAAACCGAGAAGAGGTAACAATCATGGAAGTTAACGAATGTTGACGCGAGCCACTTTAGTAAGTCAAATTTACCGGATTAGTGTTCCTGTGATAATCACTTACAACATTTGGAGATGGTGAGTGGTATGGCTCGAAATCTGATGCATTGGGACAGATATATACATTTTCTAATCTTTCCTTAGATTTTGAATTCCAGTACTTCTCCACAATTTTTATTCCACCAATTTATCCCCTTTTTGAGATCATTTTCTTGATGCTTACTATCATTGATATTACTATGGTTTCGACTGTCTCGCTATCTAGTTATTATTGTCTAATCATGCTAATACGGTGTGTGGCAGACCGACTAGATACACGTTTAAAGTCTGGTCATATTGATCACAAAAATATGCAACAGTAGTAATAATAATAATAACGACTCTGACAACTGGAAGATGAGTCACTTACCTATTGAAGGAAGACGCTCATCAGTTTCACTACTAATGAATAAGTACTTATTGCATCGACCAGCCCATGTAGCTTTCACATGAACAGCTTTTGATTTATGATTTGTTGGCATTGTTAGTATCCAACAGAATACGCGTACTTGTTTAGCCAATACGTTGGCCAATGTTGCTTCAGCTACAGGAAGGAAGAAAAGTATATAAGAATAGAAATAAAGTCTAATTCCTCCTTTCGGACGAGGAAAATTAATTTGGCATTCGAGACTGCCAACTGCCACCGTTTGTCTGAATGAAGTAAATCAATTCGTATAAACTGAGAACTTTACTGACTGAGTTAGTCAAGGAAGTTAACTAAAACAATGAGAACAATCAAAATGATGTTCAATGGATTTTCAGTGGGGAGAAAATGTAGTAAATGCATCTGTATCACCTGAACTGACTCATACGTGTTAGTACGAGTTTTGAATCTACAAGTCTCGTGTTATGCTGACCACATTTCAAAGGTACCCGTTCGTTTACACAACTGATGAAAAGAGTTAGTTACTTCACAAATCAGCATAACTTCAACAGTGAAATAGATGTTGTGCATTGATTCACACTCGATGCCAACACATCTAGTCAATCGGAAATCCGGAAAGAACTTAAATACAAAAATGAAACAAGACATCTTTCCGGAATACTCGACTTGTAGTTTTAGAAAAATGGAGACGACATATTTGTGAACCTAATCGGCTAAGCGGAAACGAAGAGAAGAAATGATGAAAATCTTAAACATGTATCTACGTCTAAGGCTCAATGTTTGAACAGCTCATCGTCAGAAGCCAGGTGGTACAACTGAACTACCACAATAAACATGATTTACACCTCCGAATCTCGGCTGTCAGAAAACTCAAGCAAATCTAAGGAAACAGTTTGAAACTCATCATCTTTTCAAGGATATGCTGAAAGTACTGGATCCAGATGAAAGTAAATTATTGAAAATTTCAACAGTGTGGAGAATGACACAGGCTAACTTGTTTCAAATGAGGTTCATTCCACTTTGTGAGCTATTGATCAGACATTCCACTTTTTGACATTTTACTCATATTGTACGTGGATTATTTTTTGAACTTCCTAAACTCGAGCTACTCTGTCGGTGCTGTTACTTCTCCTGTGTCATCTCCCATGTCCTTGATGAAGAAACCGTTTCATTACAAATAGTAAATATCATCAATCCTGTAAAACCAAAATTTTTCAAACATTTTCAACCCAATAATTCATAAATCAACACACTCTCTAGATGTAACCACAACGTCGCAACTTATCACAGAGTAAGACAGTCAATTTGTCCTTCTTCTCCATGAATATTTGCAAAACCATCAGCTAGAAATTATCTAGCAAAAGATCTTCTGCCAAGGGTTGCACACCCTTAGAAAACATTTCACACTTGATTGTTTCATCAAAATTTTCGCCGGACTCTCAACAAGTTTCTGTTCTTGATTTTCCACGCCATCGCGAAAATCATTTCTGTATAGATTCCATGTCGTATTTCGGTTAATGGCAATTTCAATAAGCCTCATCACATTGTAGTAACTTGTGTAGTTAGCAAGTATGTTTTGGTTTCATTTGAAGACACACTCCATCACATCACAAATATTCCTCCAAATGTTGACGATTACTGAATACTATATATTTCAACTTCATGAATAAACAGTGGGACATTCATCATGAAATTTAGTGATTCTGGATTCCATTCCGTTTACATTTTATTTAAGCGAACACTAATGACGATGGTAGATAACCGTATACTATATGTTAGCCATCCACTGGCTAATATTTATTCATAGGAAATAGCTTTGAAATATTTTCAACAGTGGGAAGTAATACAGCGCAAGTGCACTTCCACAAATGGGAAGTAACTTAAGAATGAATAGGATTGATGTACGACTAATCATCCACACAATTCGCATGCTTAGTAAAACCACTAGTATTTATCCATTGTGACTGAAAAAAGGATTCACATTTATAACGACTTAGTTCATTAATATTTAGCTAGAATTCGGAAACTACAGTCTGAATCATGGGTGGATATCTCGACTATTGCTTTAACTGAAAGTAATCTTTAGAATAATCATCGAAACCATAAATAACAACTATGGTTTCCCACTTCAAATCAAAACCAATACACTTACCTAAATGTTGTAATGCAAGTTCGTGTATTGAATCGTTCGAAATAACTGTAATTTTCAGGGGAACACGATAGTGAAATTGATAGTCATTTTAAGGTAAATCTAACCTACTCAACTGTTGATATGCATCATCGTCTGCTGCCAATTTGGGTGACTTGGCTGCAAACAGTGCTGCTGTATACAAATCCTCTTCATGTTGTGCATAGTAAAAGTGGACAATTAGTCCGCCACCAAACATACCGATCGTGTATATAAGAAGCATACGAAAGAATGGTGGTAAGTGCATAAAGACCTGAAATTGCTAAGATCAGAATGAGAGTGTTAGTACCATCTGACAGAATCTACTTTTGAATACAATTCCAATCAGCGAGTTGTTGTGAATGTTTTATAACCATATCACTGCTTCATGTGAAGTAATGGACAAGTTGTAAACCTTATTCTTGTGTATGTATGTATGCTTAAGTGCTATGTGGTTCAGTAAATTTCTAAGCATCCTTTTAATGTTATACTTGTTTACTACAGTATCAGTTAATTGGATCCATTCAACTTCGGTGAATAGAGGAGTTAGATTTTGTGTATTTTCCATGCGAAATGTACTACTACGATTTCTACCGTTTTTGTTTAAACGTATGATGAATAATAGACCAAATTTAGAACAGAATATGTTCACATATACACATCTGATTGCGACATTGATTGATATCAATCTGAATCTCTGAGGTAGTATAGATTTTCGCCGAAATCGTGTTTACATATAATCGACGATTGTTAATCAACTTCAAACTTCGGTTCATTGAATCAATATGTCGCATACATGAATCGCTATATTGAATTTCTTGATCCAAAGTTGAATAAGTATCGATTAGGAATACAATGTTCTCTTCATTACTATCTAACTTGTGTAAAGCGGACGTTTTTGATATACAGCACAAAAATTGTCATAAATCACCAATAATTATTTATGGACGTGTTACAGAACTATTTGACCTCTGCCCTTCTCTTGATGAATCTTGTCAACCAACATCAATAATATCTAATAAACTAAATGCTTTTAACACCATTCTTGAAGTCTATGATCGAGATGTGCTTTGGCAACTTCGAGACGAAGGCGAAACCTCTTTCTAATGCTATCGAAATTATCTATGTTTCACCTCATTAATGTCATACCGTAACATAAACCAAGTAGAGACTAAACATATTCACATAATGAACTCATGTAAATAATAATTATGTCTCCATCAATGATCAGTTTCAAGTGGATTCCAGACATCCTATACAAACTCTATTGTGTGGGATTGTGATTGTTCAGTTGTGCTGTGAAACCTCAGACCTAAATTTAAACTATTTATCCTGTTATACACTAATTTCTTCTTGTTTTTTTAAGTTGAATTCATTCTATAATTAAAATCATTTTCAAATTCCTAGTGTCCAAATATAGTAATTCAACTGGTAATCTTATCAGAGTTCGATTGGCTGTTACTTTGTAAACAGTATCACAATGATGGTGTACACAGTGAGAGTATTTATTGATCTACTTTAAAACTATTTACAATGTTAATATTTAGAAAAGATGATGACAGTAACATACATCAGTTAAAAGGTTTTGTGAAGAAAAAATTAAAGTTAGGTAATATGTGGTATCATGTATATAACTAATTTTAACTAATGTAAAGAATGGTAAGCAGAGATGGATAGTGGCTAGCAGTGAAATCCAGGACGCGCGTTTCGTCCTATTTGGGACTCAAACAAACAATACTTAATGAATTTAAACTTCACCTCATCGCACAAGCAATTGGCTATCAGAACTCAATGGCCGAGCTGATTACGCGATGGCGTTTGAAGCGAGGGTACTGTTTTCGAGTTCCAGAGTGAACATCAATTCTGCGATGCAGGTACATCCAGCTGACGAGTCTCAAATAGGACGAAACGCGTGTCCTGGATTCCACTGCCAGCCACTATCCATGTCTGCTTACCATGCTTGTGAATTAAGGCTATATTGAGGCAATACGCACAGTATGCACATATGCCAATTAGAGACTGACCAGCTGCAGTCCTAACACATCGATGTGAAGATTCAAACAAACAATACTAAATGAATGTAAACAATATTACAACTGAAATAGTATTTTTGTTAATGAGTTAACAAATTGTTACTGAGTAATCAAAATAACGGTTATGGATCAATAAATTTTACTTCGCTCCTAAGAATTATACGTACTTTATGTATAAAATAAATGTCTGTCTTCTTTTTATTCAGATCCAATGATACCGTATAGCATTAGTTAGAACATGAGACTGTCGAAATATAATATAGTAAAATTCACCTTATAAGCATTAGTTCTAACCTAGAATTATTAATATCTTCAGCTGAATTCTTTAAAAGTGAAATTATGATATTATTTTAAATTCGAATTTTACATAATTATTAGGAGATATGGTAGTTCACTGAGCCGGCATCCAACGGTGTTAATGTCTAACTTCAACCAATCCACGAAGTTCAGCAACCATTCACCAATGTCTTCAGTGAGTTGATATCTCCCAACAGACGTGGTTGAACTCTATTGGTTACTGCTTCTCAGTGGTCTATCGGTTAAGTGCTCTGGCACGAGACTGGTAAGTCCTGGGTTCGAATCTCGCGAGGCGGGATCGTGGATGCTCATTGTTGAAGAGTCCCACAATAGGACGAAACAGCCGTCCAGTGCTTCCAGGTTTTCCATGGTGGTCTAACTTCAATTGACTCATGATTTCAAGTATATATAAAAAATTAATAAAAATCTCCACATAGAACCCAGATATGATAGTTGTTTGTGAATTCATAACATTTATGACCTTATGCTTGACTCTATAATAATTGAATGAAATTGATGTCAACGAAATATTTACATCCTATCTACTTCATATAAATTTTGTCGACTAATCCCGTTAATAGCAACGTAGATATAAAAGATCGAATACGTAATTAGTTGAGGAACGTATATTTCAGACATTCATTAATGTAGACGAGTGATAAGAGATTAAGAGAAACGCATGTGAAATGGAGTGGTAGAAATGGCTAACTCAATTTCAATAAAATATGAAGTGACATTTATGAGCATGAAGGATACAAGTAAGCACATAGATACATACGTACAATTACACACACATGATCAAGGTTACATATGAGCAACAAAATGTCTTGGGGAAGATTAGAATCGTGTAGGCGTGTAAAAATTCTAGTCACTACAAGCGCATCCATTTTTCATCATTCAATATTAGTGCGGTATCAGGCATTTGAAGACATTTTTTACGTTCGTTTATTGAGTGATTGCTGTAAATGAGAGCATGATTTTGCTAAGGATTTCTTTTCATGTTCTAACTTTCACTTTATTTGCTTTCTCCATCCGGTAAGTTGAGATACGGTACGAAGTCGTTTCCGCAGAAGATTTCTGTAAATAGCTTTTGATTAATAAAATGAAAGCCTATCGATAATTATTCTTTTCTACACAGCTTTAACTAACTAAATGAACAGAAAAATGCTCGGATGTACTAGACAAGGTACTTCTATTCAATATTCAAAAATAATGGATAACTTCACACTTAAAGACCTGCGAACCGAATGGATGAAATCCATAAACTTGTTAAGCAATCGTTATGACAATGAATCTTATTATCCAATGTATCACTAATAATATGAATGAGTGAAGAGTTTTCTCTAAGATAAGGGTAAAAGAATAGACTTTCGTTAAATTATGCTTTGGGTAGAATATGTTAAAGCAGTAAGAAATCTATGTAATTTTGATAGCACGATACTGTCACTTCATAATGTCACGGTTCTGTTTCTTATCACTATCAAAAGATTTGAGCACCAATACAGGTTTCCTGCGACAAACTTTTCATAGCATGGGTGATATCTGGCGTTAATCTTTGTACTTTTAAAAAAAACTAAGGGTATCTGTATTGATCCTGGTTTTCTGGGTAGTATAAAACCATTTTATCATTTACTCATAACTTTCACATATGAAATTTTGATATATGTAATCAATCATCATAGTGAGATATGTTACGGATAGATTAGATGGTATTTGTCACGGATTATCATCATATGTGGTATTACTGAAAACTACAGAGTACTGGAAAACTGGTTTACCTAAGCTCGGAAATTCTAGGCAGTACGTACACACGAATCTGCTAGCGATTGGACCGTGGTATTCAGGCTTCAGAGTGAGCATCTTATCTTTATATTACTGAATTGGAATTAAACTATTTGTATCTCTAAACTCCGTTCACAATGTTAACAAATGCTTCATTTCCGGTGATGGGACTGGGCGATTGTCACGTTATTTAGAGAAGTGATTAGAGTTGAAAATGGGAATCATTTGATTCCAGCCCTGCTATTCAAATATTTCATAATTTCCACTTGATCTGACTGGATAGTTTGTTCAATTTTTTTATTGACAAATTCCTAACCAAGATAAAAGTGTAATCTGGTGTTACCAAGCTTTGAATGACGTCCCAGTTGATGTTAACCTGTTACAAAAAACACATCAATGGATTGAAATAGTCTCAACAAAACGTCTCAGTCAAAATATGGTAATTTCCGCGTAATAAAAATGAACACATGAAACCATTGCAATAACAAAAGTCTCATATTTACCAGTCTAACTATCAGTAATATGGTTAACAGATTTTCCTGGTATTTCAAACCCTTACACAATAGATATAAATACATAAAGGGAAAAAATATCAGATATCAAATACAAATTAGGTACTACCACTAATATAGAAAAAACTAAAATGTCCAGCACCAGTACTTTTTAAAACACTAAGTACACTAAGTAGAGTGATGTCATTACATTGATAGTATTCTATTGTTTAGACATTCAATGTTTAATTGTAATCTTGACTAAATGTTCATCTCCGAAAGAAAATATCCGGAGTTCTGATGAGAAGCCGTGAGTAGTGGAATCTAACCGTGTTGGATGTGAGGCAGTTGCTCTCTAAAGACAAATGAAAGTGATTGAACAATATCGTGGATTGATTGAAGTTAGACATTAACATCGTTGGATCCCTGTTAATTGGTCTGGACTTTAGACATTCGTGCATGAAACTGAAGGTCCTAGGTTCGGTTTTCTAGAGCTGGGTCGGTGTTCAGGATTTCTATGAAAGTCGTCAATGTCCACAACCCCCTACAGAAAAATGTTCGAATGTTTAAACAGTTGCAGATATTATTCTACTAGTCTAAATAGAGTTGATGGTATTTACAATATACATGCGTGAATATGTGTGTAATTCCAAAGATGACATTCATTGTTAGTCAATCAAGGAAAAGTATCTTTAATTTTACTTAATCCTTTATTATTTCAATATTTTCCAACTTTTAAAGGATACTTTTTATTGAAGATATCTATTATGTATTTGTATCTCAATCAGTATTCCGCAATAAAAAGTTACAAATAAGTTATCCTGATTAAGTATAATAACCTTTTTAATAAAAGTTAGACTCATTTTATGTAAAGTACTCAATATTATTTACCAATTCAAATGTGCAGTGACCTTCTTTGCATACTATTTATACATAAATACGTATTTACAAAAGATAGAAATTTCGACATATAAACTTACAGCTAAAATCTTCCTCATTAGACGACACATTCTAAGTTTTATTTGACTCTCAATATATATCACCATCATTATTTGTATACATATATATATTTGAGTGAGTTGATGATTGGTCATCATTCGCATCTTGTTGAAAGGACCGTCACTCTACCTATCTTTACTTGGTACCGTTATTGGTTAGTTTAAATAACTGGGTCAATATATGATTAACTAATATGTAATAAATTCATTAAACTTCTGGTGCATATTCCGTGTAATCAACATTATTATTACTATTATTGTTACCCCAACCTGTAGAGAAGAACTTTGATAAAAAACTAACAAAGGTAAAAGTCATTTTAACAATTTAAACTTTGCTCTGGGAGTTGAAGGGTCTTCATTTTGAGTGGTGTGGTGTTTATATGGATAAATGATTTCCTTGTATTGATGACTGCTTGATTTTGAATTCTAAATATAATACATTCGTTCGTGCTCATCTAATACTTCTTGATTAAGTTGTGTTGTTCCCGGGATTACTAGCTTATACTATAATCCAAATACTTCAAATTATCACAAGTGGTTATCACGCTTCATGGTGAATGGCGAGTTTCTTCTAAACTCTGACAACCAGGACAACATTTATTGGAGGTGAATGGAATGTCCGCAGAAAGTGTGAGATCATAAGGACTAGTCAAGTAGCTGTGGAAATGAAAAGATTTAACCTGGCGGTGTTTCGAATAAGTGAAAGCCATTAGACTCAAGCTTTACAGATTAGCTTGGGGAGAGGTGATGTTTTGCTCTGGTCACGAAGAAACTGTGATGTTTATGTTTGAATTATAGTATAAACTAGTAATCTCAGCAATAACGCAATCTAATCAAGAAGTATTAGATGAGCACGAACGAATGTACTGTATTTGGAATTCAAAATCAAAACAGTCATCAATACAAGGGAATAAAAGGTTTATTCAAACACCACAAAAACTCATCACATACTCTTGGAGTTGCACTGAGCGTCAAATCTGCCGAAGCTTCTAATCACACGATTGGGATACGAGCGAAACTGAAAAACCGCAATTTGTCTTGAAAACGGTTGTTTATTGTGGAATAGACCTAAATCAGTCACACATCTCAACTTCTGAGGATTCTGTGGCGCTTAGCAAGTCGGTAATTCTGGAAGAAAAAGGGCCTCCTGCAGAAATGACACAAAGAATACATACTACTTATAACAGTGTAAATGATGGCTCATAGCTGTGTCTAATCTTGATAACAGTTTACCAACAAGCAAAAAGAGAAACAAGAAATATGGGAACCGCTGCGTTTAAACAAAGATTCAACGACAAACAAAGATGCGACTCAATTCGAGTTGCCATTCACGATGGTATTTGACTTATCATGCTGTGAACAACAACAGGAAACCAAGGAAATTGAGACTGGTGTTAGATAGTGTTGCTAAGGTGGCTTGTAAGTCTGTAGTGACCTGCTTTTCTCTACGAGAACGTGATTGGTATAATGGAAACAATTATTATTATAACCAATTGTTCCAGTGATTGTTTTACTGTACTCGTTTTCGTTCAACTGTATCAAAATCACTTGTCGTTCCGCTGTCCGTCTTGTTTGTTCGAACATTCTTACGCTCTGCTCTTCTTGCCTGTAATCTTTGGCGCGCCTCGGTGTTCATTCGATACCACGAGATTGCCAATATATATACTTTATCTGGACCAGTTACTGCCTTCTGATTTGCGAGCTATCAAATGAACCAAGTCGTTTTCGGGCGCCTAATCTTACTGTAGTGGTGATCATAGTCAATCGAGACTCGACGCCATCTACATGTGGTAAGCCAACTCTTCGAACACAGTTCAACCTTCGACAAATCTTCCAAAGAAGCTCTCAACCGTGAGTCTATTATTTATATATCAACTTCTGTTGCAGGTACTCGTATTGATATTTTTCAATATAAAATATTTTGGCAACAACTTAATATGGTGGATGACGATAAGAATAGTATTAATATAATAGACTCGGAAGTAAAGGCAATTAGCTTTCGACCGGTTCCTTTCATCCCCCACTATCCAGAAGTTTGGTCCGCGGCACTGGAATCTCAATTCGAGATACGCCACATAACCAACCAACGGCGAAAATATTCCTACGATCTGGAACCTTTACCTAGGGATCACTTAACGGCTGTTCGTGAGATCGTCCTCAATTGAAATGTACCAGACTTTTACAATCGTCTTAAGGAAGTAATCCTGAGACATTTCCTCCCGTCAAGAGAGGAACGATTGAGGAACTTGTTAGCACGTCACCCTATGGGTGATGCTAAACCGAGCCACCACCTCACGCTCCTGCAATCTCTTGCAGGAAATAGGACATCTGACTCAGAGATTGTCAAAGAACTGTGGCTGGAATCTCTACCAACTAGTATCCAACCAACCCTTACGGCTCTGCTCGACGACACCTCAATCAACAAGGTGGCTCTCATAGCACATAAGATACTGGCACAAACTAGCATCCCAGACAACCACATAGTTGCCTCAACATCACATTCACACACCGACCTCGATGCTAGTCGACCTACGTCTCATGGGGATAGGGATAAGTGTATCCACACTCGTCTCAGCTTCCGAGACCGATCAAATGTGCCAGAGCCTTGCGTCCCCCGACCCAGGTCACTTTCTCGTAAAGCCGTAACGACTCGCCCTAAACGGGCATCTTCCAAGCCACGCCAAAAGGCGGCTTCGGAAGCGAGTTCGGGTTGGTGCTGGTTCCGCCGTGCCTTCGGGGCTGGTGCCGCGATTTTCGAGCTCCCTGCTCATACAAGGCGGGAGCCTTCCGAGCCGGCGAGTAAATGCGGCCGTACTCGCCGGCTTTTCACCTCAGGTTGGCCGTTTATTTTAAGTGCACGGTTATCGCACTAACGCTAGGTACTTTGTGGATACAGGTGCCCAAGTCTCTGTCGTACCTATCGGTAACAGTAAGTTTCAAGCCAACATGCTTCGACTACGCCCTGTGGATGGATCAGTCATTCCCACCTATGGTACACGACAACTTACGGTCAACCTGATGAACCGACGACAATATCTGTAGACGTCCATCATTGTCGATATTCCCACAGCCATACTCGGTATCGATTTGCTAAAGCACTATGAATCGCTAGTCGATTCACATAGGCTGCAGCTAAAAGATACTTCGTCGAACAGCAAACTCATGGGCTTTAAAGCTCACACAAATGCGTGCCGAATCACAGGCGTATTTCATTCGCGTGACGATTTATTCCACGCTTCATTTCAGAAAACCCTCAAACTAACTAAGCATCTTGCGGAGGCTCCATCGGCGACCAATCGTGTGGTACACCATATAGTCACCCGCTAACCCCAGTCAAGGCAAAACCTCGCCGACTGACACCGGACAAATCAGCTTTCGCTAAATGTGAGTTTGACAGTTTACTAGCTACTGGTATTATTCGTCCTTCTCACAGTCCCTGGGTCGCACCTCTCCACATGGTGCGAAAAAAGGATGTGGTTAGTTGGAGACCATGTGGAGACTACCGAGCATTAAACGTAGTTACACGTTTTGATAGTTACCCAATGCCCACATAGATGACATCACGGCACCACTCAAGGTCACGACTATTTTATCTTAGATCGATCTGGTATGAGCGTATCACCAGATGCCAGTCGCTCTTGAATACATTGAGAAAATTGCTATCACGACTCCTTTCGGTCTGTTTCAGTTCATACGAATACTATTTGGATTACAGAATGCTGCTCCAACTCTCCAAAGGTTTATCAATAGCATAGTACGAGACCCAGATTTTGTTCACGTCTATACTGATGACCTGTTAATCACATCATCAAACGTAGATCAACATTATCAGCACCTAACACTACTATTTCAGCGCCTTTCGGATAACGGAATAATAGTCGACCCTGACAAGTGTGAGCTTGGGAGAACGGGAATAAAATTCTTAGGTCATGTTATTAAGCAAGATGGTATTCTACCTTCTGAGGATAAAGTATGTGCATTAATAGAATACACTGTACCGTCCACACTCAAGGAACTGAAAGCATTTCTCAGTCTCGTCAACTTCTACCGACGCTTCACCCCGCACGCGGCAGAACGGTTACGACCATCAACCGATCTACTTCGCGGTAATCCACCCAAACTAGGATTAAACGATGCCGCACGTACTGCATTTTTACAGATCAAAATGGCCCTAGCTCAAGTGACACTCCTCGCCCATCCTTACTCATCAGCCACGCTTAGCATGGCGGTTGATGCATCGGATCTCGCTATAGGAGCCGTTATGCAACAGGATATTTCTGGGAGTTGGCAACCCCTCGAATTTTTCCCACGACGCCTCACTCCTACGGAGACGAGATGTAGCGCTTTTGGTTGCGAACTGCTAGCAGGCTACTGCGCCATCGAACATTTCCGGCACGCAGTAGAGGGTCGTAATTTCATCCTATTCACCGACCATAAGCCCTTAACGTATGCTCTGCGTACCAAGTCTGACCGCTATCACCACTAGAGTGCAGATATTTGGACTATATTTCTCAGTTCACGATGGACCTTCATAACGTCAAAGGCGAGTCAAACTGTGTTTCTGATCCTCTGTCACGTATCCAAGTGACTGCAATTACTTTGTCAACGCCCGATCTTCCTGCTATGGCCGCCACTCAAGCAAATGATCCTTCATGCACGAAAGCGCGACAATCTACGTCCCTTCAGTGCCGGAAAGTACCCCTAGCTACTAGCTCAGCTACTATCCCATGCGATCCTTCTACGGGTCTCCCTCGACCCATCATACCCTTTGCTTACCGTCGTCTCGTTTTCGATGCCCTTCATGGTCTATCGCACCTAGGTATCGCAGCCACATTAAGCTTCATCGCTGCACGATATGTCTGGCCGTCCATAAATAAAGATGTCCGTATGTGGGTGAAGCAATCCTTACAATGTCAACGATCAAAAGTGCACAGGCACGTAGCCGCCCCCATTGGCACTTTCGCTACGCCTGATGCTCGCTTCGATCACGTTCATATAGATATTGTAGGACCATTGCTACCATCACACGGGTATGATCACATACGTGCATCGATCGTTTCACAAGATGGCTCGAAGCTATTCCCAACATGCCTATTAGGGCGGGG